GCCAGCCCCCGTTGGGGTTTTGGGGTTCAGGGATGCAGCGCTGACCCTGCCTTCCTGGGAGCGGGGGAGAGTGAAGGGCCCGCGCAGTGTCCACTCTGACTTCACCCGCAGCAGGCTGGGCCTCTTGGGCCGCACAGCTGGGTGCCGGGTCCCGGGGAGGCTGTTTCACCTCCCAGAACTGCTGTCTACAGAGCAGAGGAGCGAGGAGTGGGGCGACAGCCGGGCGAGGCCCCTCACGCGTGACGGGCCCTGCAGAGCCCTGTCCCCACTCCTCGGGGGCAGGTGGGCACTCACCAAGGAGAGAAATAAATGAGATCGTTTCAGCTGCTGATCTGTGCTCGAAAGCGCGGGAGAACGGTTGGGTGGGAAAGCGACTGCTCAAACAGGTTAGTTGGTGACAGTCGAGCTGATCTCTAGTGGGAGGGAGGAGAGCGCATGAAGTGCAAAGGCCCTGGGGTGGGAGCACGCGTGGCCTGTTGGGGGAAGAAGCACGGGGAAGGCCAAGGTGGCAGAGCTTGGTGGGGACGCAGAGTCAGGGTGTGCTGTGAGGCACGGCCCCAAGAGCTGTGGGGAGCTGCTGGATTTATTTTAAAATGATATCACATTACTGCTGTGTGAAACATGGATCGGCCAGGTGCCAGAGGGGAGCAGAGGGGCCAGTGGGAGTGATGGGAGATGGGCAGAGTGTCAGGGTCGTCCTGGCTGCCCACCCTGCCCGGCGGCTCCGCCCTTCTCCCTGCCCAGCCCTGGGCCCCTCATCTCTCCACTCTCCCGCCCCCTGTGCCACGGCCCCTGGCCACAGGTGTCTGCCCCGGTTGGCCCCTGCTGGGCATCCTGTGGGCATCCGAGCTGAGGGTCCTGCTCTGGGGCTGGAGGGCCCACGTCCGGCACATCCGCTGTCTCTCTGGTTCCTTCCAGGCCCGGCCTGTCCCCCGTCCCCTGCGCTGCCCTTCGTCTCCTCCAGGGAGGGAGGGTGCCTCCAGGCTGGGGGAGCGCGTGCCACCTCCTACTCCGTCCTGGGGAAGAGCCGCCATCCATCATGCCCAGGGGGGCCCATCAACCCGCAGGCAGAGCCGTGAATCCAGGGACACTGCGGCTTCAGGACTGGGGATGCGTGTGTCAGGGCCTGCGGGAGGCTGCTGTCCCTCTGTCCCTCTCCCGGTGCACAGACACGCCCTCCCCAGGTCAACCCCAGGTGGGATTCTGCAGAAGCACCCCCCTGATTCCGCCAGCTCTCACCCGCACCCGGACCCTCTGCCTGGGAATTACCGTGGCTCATGAAGAACTTCGCTGTCCTCCTCTGCCCTCCGGGAGCCTCTGGGCTGCCCCTGCCCCGTGGCTGGCCTGTCCTGGGGAGGGAAGACGTGATCAGGTTAGGGTTTGCTGCAACAGCATCATATTGTGTTTCTAAAGCCCCAAGTAACGGTCTCTGAATTTTTCCAAAGGGCTTCCGCACAGCGCAAAGCCCGCTGAGCTCGGAGGCTGGCTGCGCCCAAGGTCATCTGTAATTGTTGAATGTCCACCATGTGCAGCGTCCAGGCAGGGACTCGGGAGGGTGAGGGGACCCAGGGAGCTCAGACCCCCAGCCTTGCACTCATCCCTGACCCCCTCCTGAACACCTGCATCCAGTCCGTCAGACTAGCCCAGAGTGCCCCCTCCCTCCCCTCCCAGCTGCTCCCACCTCAGCAGCCAGCGAGATCGTTTTAGAAGGTCACGTCCACCAGAAGGACCCCAGCTCTTACCTGAGTGACAGGAGAAGCTGCAGGGGCAGTGGCCAGAGGAGGGAGTGGCTCACGCCTGGCCTCATGTCTCTCTGGCTCTGCCTGGGGCATGATGGTCTCCTGCTGGCCACAGGACCTTTGTGCTGGCCCCTCGGTGTGGAATGCTCTTTCCCGGGTCTCCTTCTTCCCGTTCTTAAGCGTCCCGTAAGGCCTTCCCGACCAGGTCCTATTTAAAATGTGCCCTTCCTCTCCCCGTCACCGTCTCGCTCGCTGTCTTCATGTTCACTTGTGTGTTGTCTGTCCCCCCTGGAACGTGCGCTGTGTGAGGACAGGCCTGTCCCTTCTGTTTTCCCAGCTGCAGGAGGGACGGCCGGCCAAGGGGAGATGGAAGGGAGGGGTGCTCCTGGCCAGCTGGGCCTTGGTTTCCCGTCCTGTGCCCAGGGAGGGAGGGCGGGCTGCAATGCGTTGTTGCCAAGCCCAGTTGAGCAGCTCCGCCCCAGGGGGGCCCAGGGGCCGCTGGGCAGCAGAGGGGTGCAGAGGCCCGGCTTCACCCTGGGGAGGATCTGAGCTCTGGAGACGGCGTCGTGGACATCGTGGTCACTGTGCCTGGGCAGGGTGTCAAAGAGCCTGAGTGGCAGTGGTCATGCCTGTGGTCAGGGGAAAGCTGGGATTTAACTGTGACGACAGAGACGAGCGGGTTGGCACTGCGCGTGGAGTCCAGTAAAAATGACCTGCAGGAGAGGCGGCGGGCGGGGGCCGTCCAGTTCTCTTTCCAAATTGGAAAAAAACCCCACAGTTAATTAAAAACGCCAATTCCTGACCCTGTGTGTGTGGCAGCCATGTGGGTAGACGGAGTGGACAGGGCTGCCTGGCCGGAGCGACCAGCCTCCCTGGAGGTCTGTGTGTCCCCCGTGGGGACAGGGACCTTCCCCTGTCTGGACAGCATGGGACGGACTCAGTTTCAAGAGGTCTCGTTTCTCTCAGCCCCGGTGCTGCTCCGGCTCCTGCATGTGCCCCTGGCTGTCGAGGGGCATCGGGAGCCCATGGTGCTGCAGGCCTGGGGTGCGGCCAGCCCACGGGGAGGCCGTGGGGAGAGGGGTTCACAGGGCAGCCGTGGCCCTCGGCAGGGAGGACCGGGGGAAGGTTCCGCAGGCCCCGGGCGAGGGAGACAGGTCCCAGTGAGCTTTGTCCAGTGGTCAGGAGAGGAGCCTGGGGAGCTGCCAAGCCTCGACCAAGGCCATGGCCAAGGTGGACACTGAGGGCAGGGTGGCCAGGCCCTGGGCCCAGGCCCCCGCTCTTGGCCTCCTGGGCCACCTCGAGCTGTGCAGGAGCGGCAGGAGGAGGGCGACTGGACGGTGGCCCAGAGTCCTGAGCAGTGACGGCGCCGTTGCCCGTGGTGACCACAGAGCTCCTGGTGCTAAGTGGCGTCCGGGTGGAGGGGCACAGAGACCGGTGAAGGGGACTCGTGGGGCTGGGCAGAGGGAGTTGGGGACCAGAGCTGGTGGCCTGAGGAGGCGGAGGAGTGGAGCCTCTGGGGCCCACAGGAGGCTGCCCTGTCTGGTGCCTGGGCAGTTCCTAGCAGCCAGCTGCACCAGGGTCACCTCAGGATTGGGGGGCAGTGACCCGAGGCCTGGCTTGGCCCCCTTTTATTGCAAATAGGGTCTGTGCCGATGTCATAAATGAAGATAAGGTCCTACTGGATCAGGGCGGGTCCTAGTTCAATTGCTGGATTGGAAGAAGAGGAAATGTGGACAGAGACGGGGTGACGTAGCCCAAACCAGGGGCCACAGGGAGCTGAGAGAGGCAGAAGCGGCTCCCGCGGCCCCGRAAGCAGCCAGCACTTTGCCTTCYGGCGTCCGGCCTCAGAGCTGTCTTGTGCCGGGTTGTTCCAAGCCCCACTTGGCCACAGCAGCCACAGGAAACCGACCAAAGCAGTGCCAATTTCACTTCACTTTAATTACTCATTTTTGTTCGGTGCTGAGGATGGAACCCGGGGCCCCACCCGTGCTAAGCAGCGCTCTGAGCTACACCCCCAGCCCCAAAGCGGCCACTTGCCATTTAAGATTTTTGTTTGTTGCTGAAGCTGGCATTGGGGTGCCAAAGTGAACTGTGAGGGGCGGGCTGGGGTGCGCGTGTGTGTGTGTGTCCGCGCATGCGCACGTGTGTGTCTGGGGGGCTCCTTCCCTTCCTGTCATCCACCCATTGTCCCTTCCTCTGCGTCTGTCCCCGCCAGCCCCCTCACTAGTTGTCCTTGGTAGATGGGCCACAGATGGTAGAAGTGAGGGGGAAGATGACGCAGGAGGGCAGTTGGCCACCGAGGGTCACTGCTGTGCCTTCTCTGACGACAGGTCCCCCTGCTCAGAAGAGAGGGGGAGACAGGCTGTGTAGACCCAATCAGAGACCAGGTCGGAAAAACCCTCCCTGCGGTTCCCACTAGACATGGCCAGGAAGGCCCCGGACCTTGGCTAGGGACAAACAGAACCTAAACAGGAGGGGGTGACATCGCAGAGCCAGAGGGTGACAGAGACCTGGTGTGTGGAAAGGGAACAGCCCCAGGGCTGTCCTCGGACGAGAAGACAAGGCCCGTGGGCTCCTCTCAGGAAGGGTCCGCAACAGACAAAACAGCACAGGATGTCCCGGAGCTGCAGCCGAGCGGCCCGCAAGACAAGGAGGTGAACTCGGCATTGGGGTGCGGCGGAGGGCGTGGCAGGGGGCACTCAACCCTTTAGGATGCCAGGGTCCGCTCTGGGATGGTCACTGGAGTCGAGCAGCCGGGAGGCCCTGGGCTGCCGCGGGTGGAATTGATCTTGGTGCCGTGCCAAGGGAGGGGACAGAGCCGGGCAGCTGGCTGGGCCTGTGTCACCTGGGGTGCGTTGGGTGCCCCTGCTCGGGCTCTTGGCAGGGGCTCCTCTCTGCTCAGGCCCAGGCAGGCCTCTGGGACACCTGCAGCGCCCTCGGCCACCTGTGGACGTGGCTTTCCTGTGATGGCGCTGTTCCCATTGCCTGGGTGGCCGCTGGGTGGCCGCGGCCCCATCCACCTGGCCTCCCCATCCACGTGGCCTCCCCATCCACCTGGCCTCCCCATCCACGTGGCCTCCCCATCCACCTGGCCTCCCCATCCACGTGGCCTCCCCATCCACCTGGCCTCGGCTCTCACCGCCCTGGGTCCGGGCTGAGGCAGGGCTTGGGCGCCCCGAGGGCCGACGCTCCTGCCTTTGCTGAGTGGTCCAGGCCCCGGGAGGCCGTCCAGGCCGGTCCTGCAGCTCACCCCGCCTCTCCTGCCCAGGCTGCCCTCCGGAGCCGGCCTCATGGAGCGGATCCAGGCCATCGCCCAGAACGTGTCGGACATCGCGGTGAAGGTGGACCAGATCCTGCGCCACAGCCTGCTCCTGCACAGCAAGGGTGGGTGTCGGGTGTTCACCACGCACCGGGGCTGCGCGTGGGGTGCTCGGGAGGCCTGACCCCTCCCCTGAGCTCACCTGCCTCCTGGGTCCTGCCGGGCTCTCAGCAAGGTGACCCAGGCCCACCCCCCCCCGCCACAGGGCGCCGGGACAGAGGAGGTCCCTGGAGTCCGGCCCCTGGGCTCGACAGCTCCCAGAGAGGGGGCATCTGGGGAGGGTCCCAGGCCCCTCCACTCCCCCCTACAGGGGCTGCAGGCCTATCCCTGCCCTCCTCCGAAAGGGCAGGCCGCGCTGTGGGCGCTTGAAGCCTTGCTGCTCCGGGCTCCTCGTGGGCTCCGGCCACCTCTTCCAGCAGGCTGGGGGTGGAGGAGGGCAGCTCCTGGGGACCCCCTGTCAGGCCGCTGAGCTCCTGGCCTTTCAGGCGAGAAAACTCAGGCGGGTGGTGGAGGTGGGCCACCGCTGCCCTGTCCCATCGAAGACCATCCTGTCCCCCCCACCCTTGGCTCCTCCCCGGACCCCTGTCCTCAGCATGCTGACCTCTCCTTACAGTGTCTGAAGGTCGGCGGGACCAGTGCGAGGCGCCCAGTGACCCCAAGTTCCCTGACTGCTCTGGAAAGGTGGAGGTGAGCCCTGGCGCTGAGGGGGGTGGGAGCGCGGCTGGAGGGTGGCCCCGGGGCTGTCCCAGCCTAGCCCTGGCAGTGTGACCTGGCGGGGCTGTTCACCAGCTAGGGCCTCTCTGCCCAGCCTGCGGCTCCGGCCCAGGCACAGCTGGCTGAAGCTGACCCCAGGGAAACGGTGTCTCTGCTGGACTCGGCATGGCCACCAACCCAGGCTCCCCAGGATGTCCCCCGAGGGGCTCCAGCATTTTCTCCTGGTAAAAGAGCTACTAAATGTGGGCCATCGGCAGCCTAATGCCTAACAGCTGGGAGAAGGAGTGGGACTGGCCGCTCTGTCCCCACCCTCCTGGCCAGCCCACGACTGGCCTAGCGTCCCTCCTGCCCCCTCAGGGCCACCTCTGGCTGTGTGCCTGTCCCTGCGGGGAGCCGGTCACGGTCACAGCTGTAAAGCCTCCTCGCTGCTTTGGAGGGGTGGGCGTGGTGTTGCAAACCCCTTCCTGGAGGACCACTGGGGGTGTCCTTCCCTGGACCTTGCCCAGGCCACTTGCCCTGTGACAAGGGCCTGAGGCATGAAGGACAGCTCTGGCCTGCGCTGCTGCCCCTCCTGGCTTTCCCCCAGGACTTGGCCCCTGCGTATCCTGACCCACCTGCTCCCCCAGGGTCTTCCTCTGCTGAGGCCTAGGGGATGGGGGTCCTGGCCCTGCCTCCTCTGGGAACTTTGGTGGCCAGGACAGATGGCCAGGTCTCTGCCCTTCCTTGCTGTGTCTCTAGGGAAGGACACACTTCATGGGCCCCGTCCTGGGAGACCTGGGGTCCCTGGGGGTGTGCACGCAAGGGGAGCCTGCAGGGGCGGGGGCTGGTGATGCCACCTGCTCAGACTTGGCCCCCTCCACAGTGGATGCGTGCCCGCTGGACCTCTGACCCCTGCTACGCCTTCTTCGGGGTGGACGGCACCGAGTGCTCCTTCCTCATCTACCTCAGTGAGGTCGAGTGGTTCTGTCCCCCGCTGCCCTGGAGGAACCAGACGGCGGCTCAGACGGCCCCCAAGCCCCTTCCCAGAGTCCAGGTAGGCCTGGAGGTGGGGGATGTCTCCCAGGCTGGACAGTCTCGGGGCAGTGGGAGAGACCTCAGCCCTGCCCGGGTGGAATCGGGCTGTGTCAGGAGGTGGACTGATGGGAGGTCAGTCAGACAGTGTCCCTCCTAGCCCTGGGGTGCTGCTCAGTGAAGCTGTTTTCAGGGACAGGCAGGGTCCCTGCAGGTGCCCCCTTAAGGGGCGGGGATAAGAGTGATAATAGCTGTCATTTGCTGAGGGCCTTCTGGGTGCAGACACTTTCCTTGTACCTAAATCTCCTGGCCGTCCTTCTGCGCTCGCATCTAACAATGACGAGTCTTAGGCTTAAAGTTAAGGGCTTTAATGCACCTGGTGAAGGGCAGCCCTGCCCCGACTCTGGCCACTGCCCTCACGGCCTCCTCGCAGCGGCCCCCTAGGCAGGGTCCCAGCTGGGAGCTGGGCCGGGACACGCCAGCCTGGCTGGGGGTCCGTGTGGGGGGTGAGAGCCAGCTCCTCGGCTTTGGGGGCTGGTGGGCCCCTTGGAAAGGACAAGAGAAGCCGGAGCAGACCCTAGCCTCACGAGAGGTGACAGTCCCTGTCCCCAGTGTGGCGGGGGCGGGGCTGGCTGCAGGTCGGGGCTGGGAGAGCTGAGGTCGGGACCCACCTCTAGGCAGTGTTCCGGAGCAACCTGTCGCACCTCCTGGAGCTGATGGGCAGTGGGAAGGAGTCCCTGATCTTCATGAAGAAGAGGACCAAGCGGCTCACGGCCCAGTGGGCGACGGCTGCCCAGCGCCTGGCACAGAAGCTGGGGGACGTCTGGAGGGACCAGAAGCAGGTCTGCCATCCTCCCAGGGCTCAGGTGGCGCTCAGGGCCCGCAGCCTCGGGGCAGGCACAGGGCAGGCCCTCCGAGAAGTGCAGCGGGCTTCCTTGCACAGGATCCGTAGCGAGGGAGGCAGGGATGGCCGGGCCAGGATGGGTGCAGGAGAGGCCCTTCGCCGTCTGTGGAGCTGGGCAGCACAGGGCCCGAGGAGCGCCCTGAGTTCTGCAGACAACTTGTTCCGATCAGGCAGAAAAGTCATGGCTTCTGCCTGGAAGTTTTGGAATAAAAGTCTGGGGGAGATTGTGGTCCCGTCCGTTCATCCGTCCATCCACCCGTCTGTCCATCCACCCGTCTGTCCATCCATGCATATACTGGAGAATTCCATGACTCCGTCTCCCCTGTTTATTTGTCTGAGTCCCTCTCATTGCCTGAACTGTCTCTTGTCTGTCTTTACATATGTCTGTCTGGAACATAACTCCTGACATCCCCAATACCTGGCGTGGTGACCTTGGCCTCCCAAAGTGCCCAACCTGGGGACAGTGTCTGCTGCACTGGTCCCCCAGCTGGTGAAGTGGGGGCCGGGGGAGGGCAGAGGTCTGCTGCCCTTCCACTGAACTCTTGCGTCCCGCTGACCCAGATTCTCGTCCACATTGGCTTCTTGACCGAGGAGTCCGGGGACGTCTTCAGCCCGCGGGTGCTGAAGGGCGGGCCTCTGGGGGAGATGGTGCAGTGGGCGGACATCCTGGCTGCTCTCTACATCCTGGGCCACAGCCTGCGGGTCACGGTCTCCCTGAAGGAGCTGCAGAGGTGAGTGCTGGCGACAGCCACTGCCCTGGGCTGGGGCCAGGAAGGGACCCAGGAGGACCATCCCAGGAGCCACGGCTCCACTGCAGGCCCCACGGCCCCCGGATCCTGGGTGGTTTCTGCTCGGTCAGGTACTGGCGTCCCCAGTTCCCCACTGGCCCGCTCATCTGCCCCCTGCTTCCCCTCCCTGCTGACGTCCAGCCACGCGTGGGATGCACCCAGGAAGTGTGTCTGCACAGCACGGTTCTAACGGTGTCCAGTCTCCATCTCTGACCTGTGGTGGGGGGCAGTGTTTGCATTCAGGGCCTGACAAAATCGGCTCTCGGGGCTGAGCCTCGTCATGCAGATGGGTCCCTGGTGCCTGCCATTGGTGGGCCGGGCACACCCTGGGGGCTTTCTCTTCTGGAACCAGATTCCTTCCTGGGCCTACTGTGGGGGCTGGGCCACCTGGAGGGTGGGTGCTAGGGTGGCTGGGTGGTGCCCACTCTCTCTCCGCTGCTGAGTCTCCGGGGTCCCTCTCCTACCATCTGTCAGAGATGGAGTTCCTGGTGCTTGGGGAGAGGGTGGAGCTAAAGATTGTGTGAGTGTGTGTGTGTGTGTGTGTGCGTGCACGCGTGCAGCAGAGAGGGAAGACGGAGGTTACCTATGAAAGTACGTGGGATACGTGAGGACACCAGGGATAAGCTGACCTCCTTGGTGTCGCTGTCCTCCTCAAGATGGAGAGGCTCGCGAGGCCCTGGATCCCACCTCCCATTCCTCCGCCTCCCCCAGAGGAAACCCATGGCTTGAATTTTGTGATTATACTTTGCCTTTTTTTTTTTTCAAAAAGAGTTTTCCCATAGGTGTGTGTCTATAAACGACGTGTGGTTCAGGTTTGGTCTGGTTCTGAGCTCTGTGACAGTGGCACCTACTGTCCTGGCCTCCGAGGCCTGTCTTTTCACCCGTGGTTACGTCGGACTTGTCCGTGCTGTTGCACGTGACTGTTTTCCAGTCATTTCCACTGCTGTGTAATATTCCACAGTGTGACTGTGCCATAATTATTCGTCAGTATTTGCTGTCTGTGAACATTTTTTCTTGCTTTAAAAATCGGTCTGAGCCAGGTGCTAGGGTGCACACATGTAATTCTGGCAACTCTAGAGATGGAGGCAGGAGGATTGCAAGTTTGAGGCCAACCTTGGCAACTTAGCAAAGCCCTGTTTCAAAAATAAAAAATAAAAAGGGCAGGGAATGTGACTCGGTGGTTAAGAGCCGTGGGTTCAATCCCTGGTACCAAAACAACAAAACAAAAAGCCCAAATTGGCTTGAACGGTGTATGCTGCGATGCTCACTCATGTCCATGTCACTTGGGGCACCTGTGTAAGGGTTTCTCAGGTCATTGAAGAGCCCACTCCAGGCTGGGAGCCGCCTGAAAGCCGGTGCTGAACCCACAGTGTGTTCTAGTTCAGCCGTCCAAGGACAGACCCGAGAGACAGACCCTTCTATTGAGGCAGTTTCTCTGGGGTCTAGACTTAGATGCACAGTTTCCCCCCTCCAGCGGGGGTTTAGGGTGCATGAAAATTCAACTTTATGAGAATATACCAAACTGGTTTCCACGGTGACTCTGTCACCTGGCAGTCCCACCTGTTGGCCACAGGCCCCGTTCTTAGGGTGATCAGACTTGCTAGGTGAGGGTAGCATGCACGCGATGTCCCGTCCTGGCATTTCCTGACAGCCACGAGCGTCCCATCCTGGCTCGGCTGTTGCTTCTTGTTGGTAGGAAACGTGGCCTCCTGGTCTGACTCTTCCTGCCGGGTCCGTCTTCTCATGGAGCTGGAGGGGTTCTCCATCCCAGGTATAAATCCATGTGAGTTGTATGTGTGTTAGAAAATCTAATCTGTGCACATCTCTTAAATTTCCTTCTGCGTCTTTCCCTCCAAGGGGCCGAAGTGCTTAGCTGTGACATGGTCCACGTCACCACGGTTTCTCTTCACGTTAGCGATTTGGTGCTGGGTGGGCTCCATTCTTCCTTCTCGTTGACTTTTGGATGGGATCTCTAGTTTTGCCCCAGGGCCTAAGGAAGGCAGGCCCCGGTGTCCTTCGAGTGTGAATCCAGTTTTCTCTGTGAACCCATTAACTTATTCTCAGGTGGTTTCCTAGCAGGAATGAGATTCCTCTCCGAGCCTGCCTTCCATCTTGGTGATGTGTGTTTCTAGATGTCACTTTCTTCTGAAAAGTCTCTAGTGCTAATGCTCCGTGGCACAGAGGAGACTTTGAATGGGGACAAAGCCATCAGCGATCTCAGGTCACTAGGGCCCTGGGAGCTCCTGTTGGGGGCAGCTGTTCAGCCTCGGCAGTTCGTACCCACCCTGGGCTCTGCCAGGAACCCAGGTGGACTTCCCATGGAGCAGTCGCGTTGAATTCGGAGAGGAGGCTGGGCCCGGGTGTGTTTTGAGGAGGCCACTCAATGAACTAGTGGTTGGGAGGTTCTTATCCCTGAGGCCTGAGGCCACACGCCAGAGTTATTTTTAGGTTATATGCTTGTCTCCAAGAGGCTCAGGAGAGAGGAACAAGTGAGTGGGGGTGGGGCAGGCCCGCGGGAATCAGAGTGCAGCGGGCGGCAGGCTGTGGAGGAGGAGGCGCCCACTGCAGCCTCTGCTGCTGAAGGCCACCAAGCCCCTAGGCAAGGAGCCAGCTGGGGAGCTGTCCCCGAGTGCTGGTGCTGAAACAGGCAAGCTTCTGCTCTGGGCAAGGTGAACAGCGCGCCCCTCACTGGGGTCTCGCCCCGGTGGCATCTTATTGATGGGTCCTGCAGTTCATGTGGCACAGGCCACTTCAGAGCAGAGGTGTGCCTGACTGCCTCCCGTCAGCGCCCACTGCCACAGGCGGCGCTCTGCCCACCCCTGCTCCCTCCAGGCAGAGAGCTCAGGGGGTGCACAGGCTGTCCGTGGAGCAGAGGCCGCCAAGGTAGTCCACGTTTGCAAAGAATGAAAAGGAGACCTTTCCCCAGCCTGGAGGCTCCTGCAGGAAAGTCAGAGGGTGGGGAGGAGGAGGGAGAGGAAAGGGGCCCGGTCAGGGAGCCGTGGCCTTGGCTAAGGGAGCCAGACCTGCCTCAGGCAGAGCAGTGGGCAAAGCTCTCACGGGTCCTCAGAGACCTGAGATGCAGCGGGACTCCCGAGGGCGTCTGGAGCGCCTTGTCCCAGGCTCAGCCACACCAAAGCCCTGGTGAGTGGGGAGCATCGGTCTGTCAGGCCCCCCGCCCCGCGCTGTCCGCAGGTTGGAGGAAGTGCTGCCCAGCAAAGTCTGACTGGGCAGGGCCTGGGCCAGAGGCTGGAGTGTGCTCTGGTTACTGACCCCTGGAGGACCCGGGGAGCTTCTCCTGCCTGCTCCTGGCAGCCCGCACAACGTCCAGGGGACCGTCGTCCTCAGGAGTCCGCGAGGGCAGACGTTTACCCCAGTGGTTCCTCGCAGCCTGCGGGGGCTTCTCCCTCAACCTCCACCCCAAGCCCTCACCTGCCCAGAGCTCTGCCAGCCCTCTGGCTGCTCCCTGGGGCCTGGAGTGGCCACATTGCCCATCCCAGTGCCTGAGCAGTGACCATGGGGTGGCTTCACTTGGAGGCCCTGGTGAATAGGCCAGGATTGGGAGATGCCCCCTGCTGCCATCCCTGTCACGACTCATGTTGCACATGCGTGTACACATGTATGCACACACACACGCCCACGCACACGTCCCTCCACACAGGGCACATGCTCAGGCCGCCTCGGCAGCACACACACGTGCATGCCTGTGCAAATGCCTGCTCTTCATATGCACACAGTGGGCCTCTCCACACCCCCTGCACACACATGCACATGCTCCCCCTTCCCCGCAGCCCACAGAGAGCCGGATCCTTTCTCTAAGCCTTCACTTCTTGACAGGCTCCTGCTGACCTCAAGTCCCAGAGGCAGGCTCTCCAGGGAGCGGGCCCCTCTCTGACTCACCCAAGGCTGTGCGATGCCCTGACCTGAGGTCCTTCGCGGGTGGGAGGGAGCATCTTGCTCAGACAGGACCGAGTGGTGTAAACGGCTCAGCCCCCACGGGGGATATCCTTAGGAAGGTGCTTCCTGAATCTATTACCAGATACGGTTGACAAACAACTAAAAGCTGTTAAAAATAAAAACAAATCCGCCTTCCCCAGGAGAATTCCCCAGGTAGGTCTAGGAGATCATCAGATGGGCTCTGAGCCTGGCTGCAGCAGGATGCCCGAGAGCCTCGGGCACAGCCAGGTCGGGCCCCTCCATTAAGAGATTTGGATGGGGGGTCAGTTTCTTAATGCCCCCCAGGGGATTATAGTGAGCACCAAGAGTTGGGGAAGGCCAAAGCTCAGCGGTCTCCCCCAGTACACCACCTGGTGGCTGTGGGCTTGGCACCTTGTGGAATACCAATGGGTCTGCACTGACTGGCGCAAAAGGACTGTCCTTAGTGTCCCTGGTGTGGGGCCTGCGGGGTGGCACTAGAGCCCGGGTGGGGCTCAGGTCTAGAAGATTTGGAGGGTATGAGGATTCCTCCTTCAGCCTCTGCACCCCTGAGGCTCCCAGGACACCCTTGGTGGCAGGAGCCGGGAGCATTAGGGTGAGGTGAGTGCAGGGGGTGGGCCAGGGAGGCCCCTTGGAGGTGGCCAGATAGGTGGGGCCTCTTGTGACCTTCCTGGGGGTGGGGAGGGAACCTGGTGGCCTGCAGTGTGCTTGGTGCCACGCCCTCTTGAATGTAGGGTGCTCTTCTCCCTTCTTTATTTGTAAAGGGGGGCATATTGGACCCTGCAGTTGAGGGAGGGAGGCAGAGGTGAGGCCAGTGTAGAGGCTAAGCTGTGAAGGCCTCAGTTCTGTGCCAGGGCCAGCCTGACCTCCCTGATGTGGGCCCCTCCTGGAATGGGAGATGTGAATTCAGCAGGAGCGGTGTGGACCTCCTGGGGCTGCTGTAACAAAGACAGCAAAGTGGGGGTCCTCTCACCCTCTGGAGGCCTCCCTGTGTGGTTGCAGGCCGGTAT